CAGCAAGTAAGACAGCAGATTGCAATGGACACCATTACAATATTGCTTTGCCGATTGAGGTCAGAGATTTAAAGAATAAATAAATAAACATTCTATAGCTCGTTAGACCGCTGGCTTTTAATGAACAGTTGGCACAACACTTATGAATAGTTATGAATAGCTCTGACAACATAATACACAGGGTAAGATTGCTATGTCACTGTTTAATAGACTTACCCAGTATTTAAGGACGACATGTTTCTTGCAAAGTCATCGGGACTTTGAGGGAGGTTCTAGCTATGTTTAATTAATTAATTAATTAATTAACTTACTAAAGAAAAAAAAAGTTTTTTGTTTTGTTTTTCCCCTGCAAGTGAGTTTTCAGCGCAAGGTCATCTTGTGTTCACAGACTATTCGGTTTTAAAAAGCTGTTCTTTATCTCACATTATGAACGGCCTTGTCATTCCTATCCACACTAAAAGTTGGCTTTTAAATATTATTGTTTTAACTTTAATATTTCATAGTTAATACAGAGAATAAAGTAATTTAAAGAAAATATATTGAAAGTATATTAATTGATAGGATTTCATTTATATATTTTGGTCCATTGTTCACTGATCTCGAGTCTCAGTCTTGAGTTCAAACAGTTTTTCTTATGATACGTTGTGAGTTTATATCCACAACTGCATTTTGCTTTGTGAAAACAAATTGAAAGCCTGGCATTGTAATACGTGTATGGACATGCTTATAACAAAGCATGGTCCCTCTCCTCATGTAGTTGGTCATTAACAGGCACTTTGATGCAATGTGTCTACCAACGCTTTTCTGTGGTCATTGGATCACAAAAGCATACCCTATCTCTCAGTCATGATGCAGAGTTTATGCTTGCAAGTATATGCAGACCTTATCCACCTGGTATCCGCATAAATACTCCTATCGTTTAGAGGGGTTAATTACATAATAACCATTGAAGGTAATATGTTGGTTGTTCTTCCTATAGAGGAAAGATGGACTTGCCCTAAAAGCTTTTTCATGGCTAGGACAAGCTCTTATAGAGAGAGATAATGTACTTTTGACTCCTGAAAAGGAATATTGGTGGTCACAATATGGGAAATACTGTAATTCATGTGTTTAGTAATCATAAGCATTTGCTTATTGCCACATTACTGATGTATTGTTTATTGAAATATTAATATCCAACATACTTTTGAATTACTATATATTGAAAGTTTGCCAACATCTCATGGTTATAAATATGTTTTTTGTATGTGTTGATGCATGTACCAGGTTTACTTGGATATATCCTGTGCGAAGTGCAACCTCTGATGCCATGTTTTCTAGTCTCACTTCCTTAGTATGCATTTGATAATCCCAGGACCATCCATTTGGATGGTGGTCCTGCAGTTACTGCAAAGGAAACCTAAAACTGGGCAACCCCATTTGGGTTACTTTGGGATTTCAGTGCCCCAACCACCCCCAAAGAAGTGGGGTTGTGGTCTGGGAAAATGCTGAGGTTAAATGATTATTAACCAAGTTACTAGCTGCTTGCCCCACACAGTGGTATCTATTTATTCCTATGGTACAGATAAGCATTCACAACATACCTGATGATACAAATGGTGAGACACCATATGAAATGTTACATGTTTTTCACTGACAAATATATTTCTGCACCAGGGAGAGCTTAGAACCATTGGTTCTATTAGAGAAATTTAGGGAATTATTTTTTTTCCAGTCCACTTCGCCTTGCACCACCACCTATTTCCTTCTGTTGGCCAGTTTGTCCTGGAGAGGGTGATACCAAGAACTTTTACTACAGAGAACAATCAGACCCAACAGAGAACAGTAAGTTTTGATATTTTACAACCTGCTAAATATTAACAGGACATTCACAGAACCACTGACTGACACAATGGATGCTGTTAAAGATGGCAAGATAAAACAAACAGAGGACGACAGAAAAGCCACCAGAATCATAGACAGACTGAATCGTGATCTGACATCTGAACCTGCAAATGTGAAGGAGAAGGATGAACAGACAGACGTGATACATTCACAGTTAACATGGAATGTATGAAAATGAATCATCAACATCATTATAAGAAAGACTCTGGAGAAAACAGACTGAACCTGAATTATCTTATACAGTAAGAAAGAAATGCAAAGATGGAAGCAAAATGATGCTAGAAAATTGGTTATGGTGTCTCCTTCTTACAGTCTGCAGCATTATCATAACATCAACCCTAGCTGTCGTTTTAAAACTGCATTGGGATTATGTTAACAAGCAGGAAGCACCTGAAATGAATTGGACTGCACACTATACAAGTTCTTTGATCGTGAGGACTACCTCCAAGAACCATCTCAAAAGGAGAGACACAGCTCACAGTGAAATGATTGCTAATGTGACCTACACTGGTATTTCACAAGGAACCTATTGAGATCATTCCAAAAACCGATTATACGTGAGAAAGATGTGATTGAACTATTTCAAATCCTAATAATGGACTCAACGATGATGGCAAAGCATGCTGAAAACAGAAAAAGACGAGATAGATGCTTGTGAAAGACTTTGGATGCACCTATGAAGGTGATTAAGAAAAGACTTTGCCGTATAGTTTATCATTGAATGACTAGCGCAAACAGCCTTCTTTATGCTGAAAAGAAGTGCTATGCTAATTCTGGACATTGCTATTATGTCTCCAGACAGAAGATGACCGGAAAAAGAAATAAAGACTGATAGCCCTCAACACCTAGCTGTTTCTCAAGATGGAACATGGTACTGAGAAAACCTGATTGACAATCAAAGCACCTCACAGTACAAGACACAGATTGTTGCCTACAACTCAGAAAAAGTGGTTTATAGGAAGGAGCAGAAGAAGAGGAATATAGATTTCCTACTGGAGTGAAAAACCATCCTGGAACAATATTCTGTAACAATGAACTTTAAAATGACATTTGGTGGCATATGAATTTGAATTAGGTAGAAACACATCAATTAACTAAAGAAACCTTGATGCAATTAATAAATAATAACAATACCGGCTTACTAAGAGCAGATGCCCTGCCAAGAGAATGGAATATAAAAAGACCAACAAAATCTTTCAGAAACCTGACATCATGGGACACTTGTACTAAAGCACGATTTGCAGCTTTTCTTAAACTCTACATATTATGTACATACCTGCAAAGCAAGGACCTCCTGTAAACATAAAGACAGAGACATTGATACAACAAGGAATCTGTAATGGTTCTGTTGCAGATGTGATCTACCGTCGTACTCCTTGCTCTTTTGGTATAACTATACCAATGAAAACGTTAAATGGCTCCATAGAATCAAACGACAAAGGATTCTTGCTATATTCTGGACTTCCAGGAATGTGGTGCTTGGACCGAAAATTATAATTACTAAAGCAATCATGCAATTTTTTTTACCTGTATCAAAAATGTGTCAGTGACAATGTGTAATATAATACAGATACTATAATTAATGGTATAAGATAAACACATAATGTGTTAATTACAAAGGTGGATGGACTTTGTGAATATCTGAAACGCAATTGAAGATTATTGCTAAAATGCCATATGCAGCTGCAGTGTGGCCTACAAACAAATATATTAAACTTGCGTATAAGAGCATAACAGCTAATTACCAAGATGAATAATTGAATCATGATAGTTAAAGATCATATGATTGCAATAACAACTGCAATAATGAATAAGGTTTAAACTTTAGAAGAAAATATAAATGTTCTTATTAAAACAGAAACTACTCGATTTTCGTTTAAGTTTGCAGAGTGGTATAATTAATATAAGTGAAATACTTCAACAGTTAAAAACAGTTAAAACAGGCAGAAACTTTACTTCAACTATCATAAAGTTTATTTATAATGATAAAAATATTCAGTCTGCCAGAGCCAAGGCCAGTCAATGGAAAGTAAAAGAGTATTATGGATTAACCCGTCCAGGTGATATACATGATGAATTTGGAAATTGATCATTTAGGTCACCTATTGCAAACTGGTGAAAAGATGTCAAAGATATAAATTCAACATCCATACCACTCTATGTATATATATATAAAATACACGTAATCAAATATTTTATCAGTTTTTCAAATACAAAGAAAATGTAATTTGGTTTGTAATGGTTAAAGGTACATAAACCACCTATACAAAGGTAGAGTTAAAATATAAATACATTCAATATTGTATCTGAGTGCTTTCTTAACTCACTTTTAGAAATAATAATACAAATTCTAATCATCTTAAGCTACATCCAACAGCCACTGAAAAATACACTTAAACAATTAAGATTCACATTGTTAAGCATCCAATCTCACGAATGTAGCTTTCCACAATGGCTGTCAGATCTTGGTTAAAAAAAAAAAAAAAAAATGTTTTCTAAGACAATTTTTGGGTGTTTCTGGTATTTTAAGCCACTAATAACTGTAGTTATTATATTTACTAATTATAACTTAGGGAATAAGTTGTCTTCTCCCTAACAGGACAAAGAAAGATAATTAACGTCATATTTCCAATTATCAACTATTCTAAATATATTGAGACATTTTGAATAAAGGAGTATTTTTAACATTTAAAGAGAATGTAATTTTACATACCATTATGAACAAAGGCGGTAAATACTTTGCTGCTTCAAATTATCCCTGTATCTCTAAATCATATACAGGGGTGTTTATCTTTAATACAAAACACTAGAAAGATCAACTATGTTACTATTTCATCTATCATTATTATACAAACTATAACAAATGTAAAGATTTTTCCACAGATTTTACCTGTTAACATTTTTAGCACAACAGCACCTGATGTCAGTGAGATGTCTATCACTGAGATGTTACAAAGATTCCAATACAGCAAAAAGAGGCGTTCTTGGGAATCCACTTCAATTGCTGTATTCTTTTCAGTGCTGTGTTCTTTTCAGTTCTTTCCCAGACAAAAGCTTTGCTCATTTTAATCAACCACCTTTACAGGCAAAGATCACACTATGGATATTTTACTGTTACAACAATGATCAAAGATGCCGGGAGCACAAAAACCTAAAGACTGTTGGAGAACTTTGGTTCACTAATTTAAGGAAGAAATGCGCTACAATGCCCACAGTTTAATGGAGAGGGTGTTACGGGCAAATGCAAATATTACAAGTTTTAGAATGAAATGTTGTATTTCTTAAACTGTGTACTTTGTCTTTAAGAGATATTGCAAACTGACAAGGTGTTAGAAATGGAACATATTGTTTTTCATAACTGTTTCTTTAAGCAATAACCTCAGTGCATAATATGTTTGCGCCATTTTGTCCCAGACGAATTACAATAACAATAATGCATAAACAAGCTTCAAGGCTATGCTACGACTCTTGCAGTACACAATATACTGTGGTAACCCCAAGTTAATGGAACTTCCCCAAATCCGGGAATCTCCCACGACTGTACACTTACGACTTAGTATAAACAACAGATAACCTATTCAGACTTTAAGATGCCATCTTGAACTAAGTCAGGAAAATTTCCATGACGTATACACCCTTTAGTTATGGCCTTGTATGTTTGCCAAATTAAGGGAGGTCCTAAATTGAATAAAGTAAAAGAACTACAATAACCCCAAAATGGAGATACCTAAGGTATAAATAGGTGTACTTTTAAATGTTAAGACACAGAGGAGAGACTTGGAGACAGACGCTGCTCCATCTTAAAATGACAGAGAGGCTGACATGATGACATGTTCAGAAGGGTATGTTAACCTATTAATGATATTTGCAAGCATGTAATTTAATTTTATAAACTCTGCTATAATGGATTTTATATTTTTATATAATAAATATCCAAAAAGACAATCTTGCTTCCAAGACAATCCTTATTTTATATTGTATTCTCAATTATTTATATATGTTAAATAGAGGATCTCTTACACTATATAAAATTATGGCTAAGATATCTGTATGGTTAGCCCTACTAAGTTCTATGCTTTAAGACATTATAGTGGTAAATAAGGGAACCACACACGGTTACAGCTCCAATTAAATGAAGAAGAACGATTAAGGCATACAACATTGAGAGAAAAATCCCAATTTTACCCTAAACAGATGATTTCAGAGAAAATGGTGACATTTGAGACTATGGTCTTGACGGAGATTAAGAAATTGGAAAAACAAGATAATTTCAGTCATAACCTAACAGTACAAGAGAGAAAAGCTTTAAAAAAACTAAAAACTGACCCAGACCTGGTTATCAAACCTGCAGATAAAGGAGGAGGGATAGTCTTAATGTCTAAAAGTTCTTACCATAAAGAAGCAAAAAGAATACTTAATGATGAGATTACGTATAAAAATTTGAATCGTAATCCGGGCAAAGAAATGAATCAAATTTTTCAAGATTTTCTTAATAAAGGTTTAGAATTGAAAATATTAAACGAAAAGGAATTTGGTTTTCTAAATATTAAATACCCTAAAACTCCAGTATATCCAAAAGTTCATAAGGATATCAATAACCCTCCAGGCAGACCCATAGTGGCAGGGATAGACTCTATATCTAGTAGATTGTCCCACTATGTGGATATACACTTGCAACCCCTTGTAAAAAATACCTCATCTTATATAAAAGATACTATTACAGTTTTAAATCTTTTAAAGACCTGCACTTGGGGAAAATAGGATATACTACCACAAACCCAGAAATCACTATGAACAACGTTCATACAGTAATTGGCAGAATGTTAAACCTAGAACTAAATATTCACAATACAAAGATAGATATCAGGAGGAGAAAACATATTATGACAAAGAAAGATATGAGAGAAGACCTAGATATGAAAAGGATAGACCACAACCAGATTATAAAAATGAAGTTAAAGGAAATATACCATATTATCGATCTACCCAGCACAGGAAAGATGAACCAATAGCTACCAAAAATGGATTTCAGGTCCTAGATGAATTTGAAAATCAGGATTTTTGGAGGAGCAGGGGCAAAGACAGACACAAAAGAGAGGATTTACCAAATGCACTTGGAGTAATAATTGCTTTTTAGTTACGAGCGATGTAGCAGCGCTTTATAGTAACATTCCACATCAATATGGATGCAATGCTGTTAAATATTATTTAAACAATTACTCAGATTTAACTAGTATGAAAATGGATTTTATTCTGGAAGGGATTGAACTCATTTTGAATAACAATTTCTTTTGGTACGGAGAAGAGTATTATCTCCAAGTCAATGGAACGGCCATGGGGACCAAGTTTGCCCCCAGTTATGCCAATTTATTTATGGCCCATTGGGAGAATACCTTCATCTATGGCCCGCATGACTGGGGGGAGAGCTTGGTGACATTGATGATATTTTCTTTATTTGGAGGGGAGAAGAAAAGCCTTATAGAATTGCTTAATTTTTTAAATAATAATACATGGGGAATTAAATTTACGAGTAATTGGAGCAAAACAGAAGTTATATTTTTAGATCTTTTAATATATGTGGAGAAAAATGTTATTAAAACAAAGAACTATTTTAAAACAGTAGAAGCCAATAGCTATATAGGCAGAGAAAGTTGCCATTTTACGCCTTGGCTCGAAAATGCCCCGAGAGGCCAATTTTTAAGGATTCGACGTAATTGTACAGATCTCGAGGTTTTTAAAACTCAATCTAATACAATTAAACAAGAGTTTTTTAGATAAGGGATATGAAGAATATAAATTAGAAAAGGTAAAGGAAAAGGTGAAGGAAATTGAAAGAAACAGCCTTTTGAAATATAAAGAAAAAAGAGAAAATGAGATGAAAGAAATTCCATTTATATGTAATTTTAGCACTGACAATCATAAAGTAAGGAAAATAGTTTCTAAGTTGTGGCCTATTTTATTACAAGACCCCATTATAAAACAATTTCTCCCAGATAAACCGAGGTTTATTCATAGAGGAGTTAATAATTTGCGTACTACTTTAACATCTAGTTTTATAAAAGAAAGAAGTACAGAAAACACTGTTTTAAATTCAGATAAAGGCTTTTACCGTTGCGGCCAATGTTTGGCTTGTAAAAGAACTATGAACAAAAAGAGACACATAAAAAACTTTAAAAACAAAGATGGGACAGAATATTCAATTAAGGATTTTCTTACGTGCCACTCTAACAATTTAATCTATCTATTAGTGTGCCCTTGTGGTTTACACTATGTGGGCAAAACCACCAGAGCTTTACACACTAGAATAGAAGAACATGGGCGAAATATTACAAAAGGATTTGAAAAACATAGTGTTTCTTTACATTATAAAATTTTCCATAACAGCGAGTTTAAAAACACGATGTTTTTAGGAATAAAAAAAAATAGACAAAGATTGGAGAGGAGGTAATTTTGATGTTAAAATGAGTAAACAAGAAATGGAGTGGATTTTTAAATTAAATACATTAATCCCAAATGGGCTGAATGCGGATTTTGAAATGTGCCATTTTTTTAAGTAAAATTTTATATTTAGGATATACATTTTATTTTTTTATATATATATTTTTTATTTTTTTATTTTCCACACATATACTCTTATCTATTTTTTTAATCTTGGTTTTAATATTTATTAAGGCTGCTAGATTATTCACGTTTGCCTGTTTTTGCACTTCCTTTTCTGCACAAAGATAATTCTTCCCCAGTAATATTGAATTTTAGATGATATATGGTATATAAGCATATCTAATAAGGAGATGTACTTTTTAAGTAATTACTATTTATAAAAATAAACATAAGTAGAAGATATAAATTAACTCATTGGGATATTCTGTCAAAATTGGGAACATGGAATAATTTATCAAAATTGGGAACATGGAATAATTTATAAGTATAAAATAGTAAATATAGAGAAGTTGTTTAAAATAAGTCTTTATTTTAAATATGTGATTGTTACATATGTGAAATAAGTAAGCTGTACAAGTGTGGAGTATCCATATAGACTGTTTCCTTCTTGCTTTTGCTCCCCTGGAAATTATGCCGATCCGGAAATGCGCATGAATGGACCGCATATTGGAACGCATGAAAACCGGAAGTGACGTAAGCTGGCTGTACGGGGGAACGCACGCAAACACGGAAGTAACGACAGAGTAGGAGGAAGAAACTGAGGCTTGACACGCAGGACGTCACCATGACGATGGTGATAGCCCGCGAAAATCAAAAGTCTGACATTAAGCAATCTTCAAGAAGGATATATAGCAGGAACAGATCCAGGGACCCCCGAGAAGGATTTTTTGGATCCAGCTGAGGAAGCCTTTGGCGAAACGCGTTCTGGAAACATTGGAAATATTGGGAAATAGAGACTGTAAATATTGGACTCTTTTCTCTCCTTTATGCCTATAAAGTGTTTTTATTGTATTTTGTTTTATAATAAAGTGTTATATTTTTATATAGTATCACTATTGGCATAGTATTTTTGTATAAGTTTTTTCCTGCTATTAGAAAGAAGGAGTGTGGTCTTTAACCACATAAGCTGTCACATTGAGCCTAATTGGAGGGCTCAGGGCTTGTGAGTACCCATTTTTCTATCCTCAATATTCACAAGATATTAAACTGAAGGTACTGCACCATATTTGTTCTATGTCCTAGATGGAGGTTTAAAAGAAGAAATAACCATAAAGAAGGGAGAGGGTCGCCTCTACGGACCCTTAAAACGCAAGAACCGAGCCATAATTATCTGGCTCTAGAGATTGTGAGTGAGAATAATCTCTTGTACCTTTTTAATACCTGTATGTTACAGTTTTACACTATGGGACGTTTTTTGTGTTTACATTTTTAGGAACTATACACTTGCTACGATATACCCAGTCTAAAAGATTTGTATATAAGGTATAGCGTTCCTACTTATATCTCCACTACTGTATATATAGCGCTCCACCATCACTTTGTATGTTTTCTTCTATTGTATAAGATAAGATCTCATTGTGTAGCGGCTTATTGGTGTGGGTAAACTGTATATTGTGTTTAAATTAGCGCTGGTACTTCCCTCCTTTTTTATAAGTAACTGAGTGTTCAGACCTGTTGGTTGGTTGGCTGGTTGCTTGCTTCCTGGATCCTGGAACAAGTCAATGTAGTAGCAGATCACAGTGCTTGCAGAGGTGTGGGTACCTGCCTGGGAGAAGAGAGCTGCAGCCTGGTCGAGTGGAAGAGGTCCTGAGAGACCCCAGTCAAGCTTTGGCGACTGGGTCTGAATCCCCAGACGTGGCAGAGGTACTCTGACAGAGTGCAAGAGCTCCGTCACAGAGGACATTGTATTAGTATGCATAGCTGGCACATGCTCAGACAAGACCATTATAGAAGCAAGGCATGTGTGGGTTGTGGAATCTTGAAGGTGCCCATAAAATAAAGTGACTTTGTCCCCTTTTTGGGGTCTTTTCTTTTCAGGAATTATAGTCCAGGGATGCAGTGGAAGTGAGATATGCTTAATGGATCACTATAGGGTCAGGAACACAAACCTGTATTCCTGACCCTATATTGTAAAAAACATCTAGCCCCTCATGCCTCCATAAATATTGTAAAATCTTACTGTATTCAGGCCTGAAGCTGTAACTCTGCATGCTGTTTGCCTCAGAAAATCAAGCTGTCTATCAAGAAGTGGTAGCCTGATCCAATCACAATGCTTCCCCATAGGATTGGCTGAGACTGACAAAGAGGCAGATCAGGGGCAGATACAAAAAGATAAGTGCCCATCACTCCTGGGCAGCAGCAACGACCACAGTACACATCAGCCCCAATATATAGTAAAAACCAAAGAAAAACAAGTTATCTGTGCCTTTGTGAAGTTTGATTTACAGTGTCAACGTCTTTCCCTCCCACATGTAGCAGACATTCAGCCCCATTATGCATCTTAGCTGGTAAATGTGTATAGACATTCCAACCAACATAACTCCTTACACTCTGTGTAAAATGTATGGTGAAAGGAGGGCGCTATTTGTATCTGCCTTTGTTTCTAATAGCAAGAGTGATTTGACATGCTGCCTGCATTCTGCAGCTATAGGCTCGTGTTCCCTCTCTGATATTGTAGATACGGGAAAACTTTCCCTCCGACCAGTACAAGATCTTGTATGCATGTGCTTGCCATATAACATCTAAACCATGTAGGCAGTCTCTATTCATGTGCAGGTGTGAGTAGCTTCATACATTAAAAATCATACTATATATTTAAATATATATCCATTAAGAGATGTGCACTCACAGGTCTTTGCAAAGAAATGTATCGTTTATTCACTCAATTTAATGCAATTGTCCCAATGCTTCGACCCTTCAGGGTCTTTTTCAAGGACTTTGAAAAAGACCCTGAAGGGTTGAAACGTTGGGACAATTGGATTATATTGAGTGAATAAACGATACATTTCTTTGCAAAAAGACCTGTGAGTGCACCTCTCTTAATGGATATATACTGAACGCTGGTAGCACCGAGGCAATATATATTTAAGGAAGAGTGCCGAGGACAACTGTATATGTATATATTTTTTTCCATGTTTCTTTTCTGATGAGTGAAAACTCTTAATCAGCTGAATCTGATTTACTGAAAAGAAAGGGAGCCTTAGAATAGACAATGAACATTCATCCACTCTGATCTCCGATTATTCTGGGAATTGGCATTATACAGGGGAGCTGACGTGTAATTTTTTATTTATTTGTTAATATTGTTTACTTTTTATTTGCTATCTAAATAATATGACGGGAAAAAAAAAAGAAGGATCAGTATCCAACCTAAAATATCTGTTTAATATTTTGCTTGCATACTTTGTATCTACCCTTTTCCAATGCTTAAAATGAAATGAATTTTTTTTTGTTTTGTTTCACAGTCCTTTGCTCGTATATTGTGTGAATCTATTGGTTTGTTTTTGTTGTTGTTGGTTTTTTTATGGAATGGCAAAATAATAGAATTTGTTCTCAGTCTAGACTAGAGCGTATTGTGGCCACATTGTGTTTCTGCTGCCACCTAGTGGGTTGACCAGACACTTGTGGCATTGTCACATGAAGTACCGTAATCACATTAAGTAATTAATATTCACAACAAAGACATGTAATGTATAATTTTCAGTTTTGCATGAATGCTATGATTATCCACTTGAATTTTTATATGACGTTCTCGTCTTACATATGTGTCTTTAAATGTGTAAAAAAAAAAAATGCTTTTTTTTCTGATTGCACAGTTATTATTATTATTATTATTTTATTATTTATATAGCGCCAGCGAATTCCGTAGTGCTGGAGTCATGGGGGTGGAGGGTGGGGTGATGAAAATCCGCTAACAGTTTAAATTTCCTGAAGAAGTGAGTTTTCAATGATTTTTTTGAAGTAGTGGAGACTGGGTGAGCATCTAACGGAGGAGGGAAGTGAATTCCACAGAAAAGGTGCAGCCCTGGAGAAGTCTTGGAGGCGAGCATCAGATGTGGGAGTACGGACAGAGGATAGACGTAGGTCTTCGGCAGCGCGCAGGGGCCTCGACGGGACATATTTGTGTATTAGACAGCATAGGTAGGTTGGAGTAGCATTATGTAGGGACTTGTAAGCAAGCACCACAATGTTAAATTGTTAAACTCAGAGTTGATGATCACATTCAGTTGAGGAAGTAGATATGTCAGGATAGAAACCAACGCACATGATGTGGGAAAATATTCAAGATTAATTTTAAAGTGGAACTATCACTTTTTGAGAAGTTATAGTATCCCTCACGACAGTAAACACTATTGAAGCTATTTAGGGTAACACTCCAGACGTCAAAACACTTCAGCTTGTTGAAGTACTTTATGTGTGAAGAGTGTGTCCTCTTTATTTTATTCATTTTATTTATTTCATTTTACAAAAAGTGCAGATTTCAATAGAAATTGACACTTTTACTTGTTACACCCTTCTGGCTGTCAGACTACTGGTTCTGTTACATTCTGGTTTGGTTAGCTCAGTGGAGCTAAACTCACTGTTCCACTTCTAGAAAATTTTCCTCAAAATGTCATATGCTGCGTTTAGAATGTTACCTTAATGTGCAATCAAAGCTTTGGCCCATTGTACCACTGTAATTTGGTGACCAATCTGGAGCCCAAAGGCAAAGGGACAAGATGGGTAGAGTGGTTTTTGAAAAAGTTTGTAAATTATTGAGATACATTTTTTTCATCACTGTTTTGCTGCAGCAGAGCTGTTCAAATTATGAGAGTTGTTGAGTGTGTTGTGGGCCATCAGAGGTCTTCCTTAGGTCAAGTTTCAATGACCAACTCTGCACTTGGGCATATGAAAATGGAGCCACTTTCAGTAGAGTGTAGGTTGGGCTTAAAATTGTTTTATTGTCAACTGGCCTTTACATTGAGGATCAAGTGAAGGTTCAAAATCCCTGGATGGTTCTAGAACATGACACAATAGACTTAAAAATGTATCTGGTACTAGAACCTAGAGGTACCCCAAATAATGAAATAGAGAAGGTGAATATATACCAAGCTATGTCAGATCTCTATTGGAGTTCAAAGACCGCTAACATGAAAGGGAAAATAAAAGGGGAGGTTTTTCAAGTGATAAAATCGGTAATTAAAGATGTTATTATAGATAATACATTGTTTTTATTCTTAGTATTAAATGTAGAATAGCATAGACCCTTCCGTGTCAATAGAACAGTACATACTCTTAATCACAAGATTAGAACATTCAAACATTCTATGCTGAAGTGAATTCCAGGTATTGACTGGTGTAGCAAGTATTAGATCTGAAATAGTAAAAGATTTAGACTTTGACAAAGAAACATTCTCTTTGTACTAGAATAATGTGTTCCTGAATACTATGATCCATTACTGATATGGCTGGTCGTGATGTTCGATAGCTGATGGAGATGTCCAAGGCTGACTGGCTACCGTGGAAAATCTGAAATAAAATAATCCAACCAAGGAATATACAATAAATAATATGAATAATACGATAAATCAAATGTAATTGATAAAAAGTAATTAAAATTAAATTATAAAAAATAATTTAAATACTTTTACCGTTCACAATACGATCATCAAAACCTTAAATTTCATTGATGTCGTTCTTGTACAGTTGAACTCTTATTTTTTTCTTATTTATTTTTTTACTTACAGCACAAAATCAGGAAAACATTATAACACAACTCTTTTGCTTATATTTGACATATTTAAAGTGATGTAATACACGCACTTCTTAAAGGTAAACACTATCTTGATGGTTGTGTCTAAACATGGACATACCCCAAAACAGTCCTATTGACCCACTTGTTACAGTCCAGCATTTTTGTTTTATTCTTTTTCAGTGTAGTAGGTATAAATAAAACATTGATGTTATGAAGTCTTCTTTAAAAACACAACATTTTGGCTTTCTTAGCCTTTGTGGACATTTGCCCCCTCCCCATATTGGATCTAGAACTGATTCCTTTAAATTCCTTGCACAGTTATGTGCATCGTTTTACTGTTCTCTGCCTCTCATTCTGGTACATGTCACTCAGACAGCATTTTAACCTGAAGTTGAACATGGGTGCCTCAGCACAACATATTGATGTTAACCACTAGTGCTATGAATACCAACACCAGTATCTTTGTGCCATTATATCATACTGCTCAACATGGAGTGGATCTCGGCAAGATATAAATCAACACCTACCAAAAGATACAGTAGAAGCAATAAAGTGGTTGGGCTTAACGCTTAGGGTAGAATAAGGAACTAGGAGAAATTAAAATACTAATTGCAAGGTTGGATATGGTAACTGGAGACAAAAGTTAAATCAGGAACATCAAAAAGCAATAATGAAGGTCAAGACTAGCTAGGCCACATCTGCAGCAAAATTGACACTGCGTAAAAAATCTGGAAAGGTATAAAACCCAAAGTCGCAGTCGGCATTATTAAGGGAGACCAACAATAGAATGATGCAGGAAAAGATGCAAGGCCTCAAAGATGTTCCAGAATTACATGATCTGGACAAAATTGATGCAGGGGCTTAATTTCAGGTGGGCAATCTTGTAATTAACACAGAAGGGCAATTTCTGGTGATTTTCTTGTAAGTGGACAGGAGTGTCCTTTCTGGTATATTTTATTGTAATTGATACAGGACCAATAGACCTGATCTGCATTCTTACAGTATTGAATTGGGACAAGTGGGTGGACCTCCAAGAGGGGTCACCAGTAGTGCTACTTGAGTCATCTTCAATGCCTATAATGGGTGGGTCTGACCGGAAAGTTGGTGGGACTGCCAACTGCAGGGTTGTGCCAGCTTGGCATCAAACATGCCAGGCTGACAGACCATCTCATGGCTGACCCGTATCATACAGAACAGGTGCATCGATAGAGGGCTGCAAGGGTCATCGGATCTTTTTGGTGCTCATGCCGTTATGAGCTGGTGGGGAGATCAAAGATGTCCCTCACCAATCCATTTCAGGAGGGAGGGGGAGCACTGAGAGCCTTTGCTCTTACTGCTTTCCGGTTTCACATCTATGTGTATTAGCTCTGGTGAGCTCCCGGCAGTTCAGTGCATTGCTGCGGGTTACCACAACAATGGTCTAACACTGAGACTGAAGCTCATGAGAGCCTTTACATGAGTTCTGCAACTGGAAGGAAGTGAGAGCAGAGACTACACACAATGGGCCACCAGGAATAGGAGTGACCCCAACCCCCTTCCTTGCCCCAAGGTAACCAGAGGGAGGGGGTTAAAAACCATATTTAAAAAAATTAAAATATATATTTTTAAGTTTTTTATATATATATATATATATATATATATATATCTATCCTAAGTTGTGTTTCAAAGCTGTTGTATACAGCAAACACAGACTCAAATGAATCCATGTTTAAAATTTGTTTAACATTGTATTAACTATCCACAGACTTCAGGTTGAAGGGGTTTTCAATCACAATTTTTTCCCCACCATAACCTTTTTGGTTTTTGATATATATATATATATATATATGATTTCACCTGTACTCACAAACTACACATAAACACACTCACTGCTTCCCCAACACACACATTGCATTGCCAGCAAATGCACAATGCATCCCCAGCACACACACCACACAGTTACAGACACGTCATCATATACAGTCACAACCTAAATAATCATATGATTATACACAGTCACTTACACATACATATATCTAGACAGACAGTTACATAGGCTGAAAAGAGACGTGTCCATAAAGTTCAACCCAGTTTGAAGCACCAAACTAGGGAAAAAATCCCTCTTGACCCCAGAATGGCAGTCAGATTTATCCTTGGATCAAGAAGCTATTACCCTACATTGAAAAATTATATAATTGAATATTCTGTTTTTGCAAGTATGTATCCAGTTGCTAATTAAACATCTCTATGGACTCTGATAAAAACA